ACACACACACACACACACACACACACACACACACACACACACACACACACAAACACACACACACACACAAACAAACAAACAAACAACCTTGGAAGAAAGATCGAAGCGTAAGGGTTATGTTGTAATTATCCACATCACATGTGTGTGTGTGTGTGTGTTTGGGACCACGTGATAAACAGTTTGTGTGTTTGCAGCAGATTCCTGAAAGAGTTTATTTGTCTTCTATATGACTTTAAAGCACGTTCTGTGCTCGACAGAACACTTTTTTTTTCAAAAGTATTAAGTATCTCATTCTCGTCGGAAGCACTGTTGTAGTGGATTTTCTTAATTTCTCGTCATCTTTGGAGCATAATTTTTCATGTAAGTTACCACAGGATCTTTCAAATGCGTCTTATCGTTTCGTGTGATACCATATTTTTTCCACACCAACGGGTTATACGGGTGACAAGAGGGTGTCATTGTTTGGTTGGTCCTATTTTTTTGCTGATATTCTGTTGTTTCCTTCTGTCGCTTTTTGCGTATTCCTTGAGTGTAATGGACATCTTTGTGAAAATTTGCTCCATGCCCTCCCGCCGTTCAAATAGGGACACATTATTTCAACCCTTTTCTAATGTTTCCTCATTCTCTCTCCCACCCTTTCTTTGTCTCCACCCCCTGTCTCTCTGTCTCTGTCTCTGTCTCTCTCTGTCCATCTCTCTCTCTCTCTCCCCCCCCCCTCTCTCTCTCTCTCTCTCTCTCTCTCTCTCTCTCTCTCTCTCTCTCTCTCTCTGTCTGTATGTGTCTCTGCCTCTGTCTCTCTGTCTCTACCATGTATAAACTGTCTACGGCGAAATAATGCGGGCAAAACAGAGGGTGAGATGCAAGATACTGGAAGAGTGACAGATACTGTGACTGACAAAGAGTTTGAGAGTTGGATAGACCGATCGATAGATTGATAGATAGAAAGATAGATAGATAGGTAGATAGATAGAGAAAAAGAGAGAGAGAGAGAGAGAGAGGGGGGGGGGAGGAGAGAGAGAGAGTCCTTGATATTAGCCAAAAATTTACGTCATCGTCATCCTAGTGCATGTTTTCTCCTGTCCGCAAACAAGACGCGGGGATTCGAGCAGATTAACAGTTTGTGATAAATTGTCAGAACGCCGGTGTGGAATGTCTCAGTGTGCTCTCAGTTTCAGTGGAGTGCAGAGCAAATGTCTCTACCCCTGATCGCAAAACTATATTTAGACGCTACCCCGTTCAAGAAAAGAGCTGGAACATTTGAAGACCTTTTGATGAGTATACTTAGTGTGACTTAAAACGTGACTTTAAACAGATTTGTATTTATTCTTTGCAGTCTGATTTTCGAATCGGTCTCTTCAAATATGTTTAAGTGCCAGTGTTAGTCAGAGGTACACTTTGTGGGCTGTTCAAGTCTGCCGAGCGAAATACACTGTCAGTGCTTTCCCGTCATTTAATCATTTTAGACTTACGTCTTAATTTTTTTTTTGGTGAACATCAATCGTTTTCACATGCATCGTTTTTTTCTCCCCCCCTCTCTATCTCTCTCTCTCTCTCTCTCTCTCTCTCTCTCTCTCTCTCTCTCTCTCTCTCTCTCTCTCTCTCTCTCTCTCTCTCTCTCTCTCTCTCTCTCTCTCTCTCCCCCTTTGTTTTGTCTCTATCTGTGCCTTCTGTCCGTATGTTGGTCTGTCTGTTTCTCTCACACTTTATCTCACTTTCTCTGTATTTCTCATTCTCTTCTTCACTTTCTCTCTATTCCACAAAATCCGAAAGAAGAAGAAAAAGAAGAAGAAGAAGAAGAAGACGAAGAAGAAGAAGAAGAAGAAGAAGAAGAAGAAGAAGAAGAAGAAGAAGAAGAAGAAGAAGAAGAAGAAGAAAGGGCCACCCCTTTTGTGAGACACAAAACACTTTAGAGTAAGGGTTAAAAAAAAAAAAGGGGGGGGGGAGGGGGGCTTATTTCCTGAGGATTTCGAACTCCTTGGCTAAGTGCACAAGAGTAGTGCCAGTCAACTGGCTGTCAGTCAACGAGTTTGTTGACCCTGTAAGTCACGGGACAAATGAAACGACTGTTCGAGATTTGTCGACTCCACAATGTGTGCAGATTGAGTCATAACTATGACTGAGTGTTTCTCTCAGTGCAACGCCTCTTAGTACTCTTAGTACTTTTATGTTCTCCTTCTTCCTCTTTCTCTCTCTCACTCTCTTTCTGTTTTTCTCTCTCACACAATCTCTCTTTTTCTTTCTTTATCGCTGCCTCCCATTCTGTCTCGTCACCCCCTTCCTCTTTCCTTCTCCCTTTCTTTATTTCTCACTCTTTCCACTCCTCTGCTTTCCTCTCTCCTCTCTCTTTCTCTCTATAGTTTTCTCCCTCTTTTTATCTCTCACTCTCCCCCTTCTCCTTTGCCCCATCCCTCTCTCTCCTCTCTCTCTCTCCCCATCTCTCTCTGTACCTCCTCTCTCTCCGTGTGTGTGTGTGTGTGTGTGTGTGTAAG